CGCGCCTTCAAACATCACAAATCACAGCGACAGAAGATCAACCAGGGCACTCAATCCTCAACCAGCAATGTGTGATGTCACGTCGGCCAAGTCGGCCATAATCTCCGTTTCGGACAAGGTGGGGTCGTTGAAGGAGGTGTGCGAGCTGTTCGAAAAGCATGGGTTCAACATGACTTCGATCCAGTCGCGCCCTTCGCCCTCAAGCTCTCAGGGCTACGACTTCTTCATCGATTTCGAGACCACAAAGAAGGACGATGAGGTCAACGCGCTGGTGAAGGAGCTCGAGGGCAAGACGTCTTCAGTCACCATCCTCACCAAGGGGCAGACCAAGAGCGAAGTCTCTCTGTCCACCTCTGCCTCAGGCGTCCGCACCAAGGGTATACATCATCGATGCACCACCTCTTTTTGGCAGACCACTTGCATCGTGGAATTTACGCTGAGCGATCTCTCGTGCGCTGGTCGCGTGCAGAAATCCCTTGGTTCCCGCGCAAGCTGAAAGATTTGGATGGCTTTGCCGAGAAGACGATGGAGTTCGGTTCCGAGCTCGATGCGGACCACCCCGGCTTCCAGGACCCCGAGTACAGGAAGCGCAGGTGCGATATCGTTGCCAAGGCCAAGACCTACCGTTCGGGCCAGCCGCTGCCCCGAGTGGAGTACACACCGCAGGAGATCGAGACGTGGGGCATCGTCTACAACAAGCTGAGGTCGCTCTACCCGACCCACGCCTGCCGCGAGCAGAACCACATCTTCCCCCTCCTCGAGCAGAACTGCGGCTACTCGCCCAACAACATCCCCCAGCTGGAGGACATCTCCAACTTCCTGCAAGGTGCTCTTCACCCGCTTCTGTTTTGCCATTTCGCCAGCACACTCACTCTCCGGCATGATGACGATGGTGTTGTGTGCAACCCTCAGAGTGCACGGGCTGGCGGCTGCGACCGGTGATGGGCCTTCTCTCGTCCCGAGACTTCTTGAACGGCCTGGCCTTCAGGGTGTTCCACTCCACTCAGTACATCCGTCACCACAGCAAGCCCCTCTACACGCCCGAACCCGACGTGTGCCATGAGCTGCTCGGACACGTTCCTCTCTTCGCCGACCCCGCCTTCGCCGACTTTTCGCAGGAGATCGGTCTCGCCTCTCTCGGTGCCTCTGACGAGGACATCGCCAAGCTCGCCACTGTACGCCGCTGCTCTCCTTGCACTTCAAATTTTGCCAACACTGCTCATCACTCACTTATGTCGGCGTCGTGCAGTGCTACTGGTTCACCGTGGAGTTTGGCCTGTGCAGGCAGGACGGCCAGGTTAAGGCTTTCGGCGCTGGCATCCTCTCCTCTTTCGGCGAACTCGAGGTACGCACCGGTTGTAGACTCCGACCGTCGGAGTGACTCACTGTGGTGATGATTGACACGGGCCTCTCTCTTGTCCCCCCGCAGTACTCCATGAGCTCGGAGCCCGAGCTGCGTCCCTTCGACCCATTCCAGGCCTGCGAGCAGGAGTACCCCATCACCAAGTACCAGCCCGTCTACTTCGTGGCAGAGAGCTTCGAGAGGGCCAAGGCACAGATGCGCCAGTTTGCCGAGTCTCTCGACAGGCCCTTCACCGTGCACTACAACCCCTTCACCCAGACCGTTGAGGTACGGCTGGTTGGCCTCGTGCGCCCTTTCTTCGTGTTCGGGCCTAAAACTCGTTCTTGTCCCGCCAGGTCCTCGACACGAAGGAGAAGCTCGTCAGCCTTGCCAACACGCTGCGGTCGGACATCAGCCTCCTCGTCTCGGGCATTCGCAACCTCCCTTGAAGGTAAGGCGCGTGTGAAATGTCGTCCTCCAGCCACATACCGGCGAAGTGATGGGTGATGTTAGCCTGTATACTTTTGTTCCTTTATCCTCATCATAATCATCTTGCACATCATCATCATCATCACCTCATGTTCTCAGACGGTCAATAAAGTCTTGACTTTCTGCTTTTTTGTTTCTTTTTATTTGATAATAATTTGTTTCTTTTTGACGGCCTTCGGTTTTAGGGAGGAGCGCCGATTCTGGGAGAAGCAAACGAGGGACGACAGCGGTAACCCAGCTCGCCCCGGGCTGCGAGACAACTTCATTGGGACGCCGGCCTCCATGTACTGTTAGCACAGAGTGCCTACTGCCCTCCCCTTCTTCCTCCCTCACCCTCCCCGCCCACCTCCCCACTCTATCTGCGGCGTCCTCCTCTTCTTCGGCACAGCACCCAACATAGAATCACAAATCCTCGCAGAGAGATGTCCACGGAGAACGATGCTCAGCGGCGCCGGATCTCCTTCGATCCGCCCAACAACGAGGGGGCTGCCCCTGAGGAGGAGGAGCACTCGACCTCCCCCCCTCGCCCACGCCCCTACAAGGCGAGCCTCCAGCCATCCAACTCCTGCCCCGCCCTCCGCTCGCCGCACATACTCCTGACGTCTCCCCCCTCGACCCCTTCAGCCATGTCGCCTGTCGCCTCGCCACGTCGCCACCTGCCCTCCTCCCTGCGCACCTCGCTCACCTCCGCTTCCCTTCGCACGCTCGGCGCCGCCACTCCGCGGGCACTGTCCTACCGCGAGCGCCTCTCCGTGTGCCTGGCCAAGGACATAAACTGGCAGGACCTGGAGGCCTCCATCCTCGCCGGCAGCACCGAAGAGCTCACGCTCCTCAAGTCCAGCCTCTCGCTCAGCGGCGAGGCCGGCACCACCTCCTGCTCGCCCAGGCCCTCGCACCGAGGCGCTAGTGGCCTCTCCCCGCCCTCCAGCGTGCGCAAGTCGTCCCTCTGCCCGCGCGGCGGCGAGGGCAACACCCACTCGAGGAACCACTCATTCGGCGGCATGGAGGAGGCGGGCTGCGACGACTTTGAGGCCGCGCTGAAGAGTGCCGCCACGAGGCTGGCGCCCTCGCGGTGGGAGGAGCTGTTCCAGATGCACCAGGCCGAGCGCGAGCAGCAGGAGCGGGAGCGGCGCGAGAGCTGGCGGCTCAGCGAACAGTCGATGTTCAGGTCGCGCACCCTCTTCTCTGAGGCTGTGCAGGCCTTCGAGAAGACGCCCGAGGTCTCCCCCACGCGCAGCGTCTCCCTGCAGCTCTCAGAACCCGCGCACGCTATGCCGCATCGCGGCACGGTCTCGGAGAAGCGGGCCTGGCTGCTCGAGCAGGGCCTGCTGCCGGTGGCCGGTCTCGCACCATCTCCCGCCAGCTGCGGCCCCACCACCACCTCCGCCGGTGGACGGAACAGGTCGGGCTCCTTCCAAGGAGACCGAAGCAGCGGTACGCACCTCTGTCCACGGATCTTCTTTATTTAGGCGACGATGACCACTCACCCAATTCGTGGTGCGTTGCTGAAGCTGGCAAGAAGCGGCCACAATCGGTGCAACTGCCCGGCAGCGCTGCGGACAACGGTATCCCGAAGCGAGGCGTCTTCAACACACCCTACGGCACCATCGTTCGCGCCCATCACCCTCTTCGGCAGTGCCCGAGGTTATGCCCACTAACGACGACACGATGTGGTGACCCTAGGTTCTTCCCGACAGTGAGCCGGCCGAAGCGGACAAGCCGAAGGGGAAGGAGCTGAAGAAGCTCATGAAAGAGCAGGCCAAGCTGAGAGCGCAGCAGGAGAAGGAGGCGCAGAAGGAAGCCAAGCGCAAGAAGCAGGAGGAGAAAAAGAAGGCGAAAGAGTTCAAGAAGCAACAGGCCAAGGCGCAGGCTCACAGCAAGGGCCGCACCACTACGCTCATCAGTTTCCACAATCCGCCACGGTTGGTGAACCTCGCCTCATTTGTACGCCTTTCTTCTTCCACTCGCTATGTCTGCCGTGGTTCACTTTTCTCTCTCTCTCTCTCTCTGTGTGTGTGTGTGTGTGTGTGATGTGAGCGCAGCAGGCACCACCGCCAGAACAGGACCGGCAGGTCTTGGACAAGGTGGCAACAGTACTGAGTCCGCTCTCGAACTCAGGTCCGGTTTCTCCGCGCACTCCTCCGGCGGATCGTAGCCACTCGGCCCACTCCCAGACACACGCGCTCCCGAGCTGGAACTCTGGAGGGTCCGCATCCAGCCCGCACTGCCTGTCGTCCTCTGCTCCCTCTTCGCCCATTTTCACCGCCCGGCGACGGGCGGAGAAGACCCGAGTAGTGAAGGTGCGACTCCTCTCCAACCACCGCCACCGTCGCGACCGTCTTATAATTGGAATGTAGGTCGAAGAACTCGACCCTCGGGTGTGGAAGTTCGAAGAGCCGGACACGGAGGACACGGTGACGCTGGGCGGGACGGATGCCGATGGGGTACAACTCGTCAGCGGCGCCTCCCTCTACAAGATCATCCAACGCATCACCTTCGCCCAGTACCCTGGTCCGTCTCGTCTGCCCTTCTCCCGCTTCTTTGACAGGGCGCGCACAACTGTTCTCACCTCGGTTGCCACCCCACCAACGTGCAGATCCCAGTTTTGTAACCACCTTTTTGTTGACCTATCGGCTCTTCCTCTCGCCCCTCGAGGTGCTCGATCTGCTCATCCTGCGATTCGACACGCCACCGCCGCCCGAGAGCGACGAAGCCGCCTTCCTCAAAACCACACAACTTCACATCCGCCTCCGGTAACCCGCCCGTCAGCTGAACACCCCCACGGCTTGCCCTGTGGTCATCGAAGCCTCACCTGACTGTCCGTTTCCCCCATGTTCGCCCAGGGTCATCAATGTGCTGAAGCAGTGGCTGACGCACTACTTCCACGACTTTCGGAGTGAGCCGGCCCTGTTGGACAGGCTGGGCCGCTTCATCGACGACGTGCTGAACCCCGAGGCCCTTGTGACGGCCAGCGAGCAGCTCAAGCTCCTGATCGAAAAGAAGCAGAGCGAGAACGCAGACAAGACTCAAGAGAAGGCGTTCCAGTTCAGCACACTACCGCCAACGCCCATCCTCCCAGTCAAGCTCAAGCGACCACTCAAGGTTCGCTCCGGCCTTCCGCTCGCACATGTGTTGCGTCTTGTGTGCGTGTGGCGTGTGCTTGGGTCGACTGATGGTCATGTGCGTGCAGCTGCTCGACCTTCATCCGTTGGAGGTGGCGCGCCAGCTCACGCTCATCGAGCACAACCTCTACCGAACGATCACGCCCTGCGAGTGCCTCAGACAGCGGTGGACCAGCAAGGACAAGGCCACACTCGCGCCCAACATCATCGCCCTGATCGACCGCTTCAACAAGGTGAGCCGGTGGTGCTGTTCCGAGATCGTGCGAGAAAAGGACCTCAAGAGCCGAGCAGTCATACTCAACCGATTCATCCTCATCGCTTCTGTACGCAAACCACCTCTCGCACTCATCGTCGAGCGTCCACTGTGTTCACTTTGCTCTCGGTGCCGTGCAGCAATGTCGAGAGCTGAACAACTTCAACGGAGTGATGGAGATCATGGCCGGCCTCCAGAATGCAGCCGCCTACCGGCTCAAGAAGACCTGGAATGTGCGTCTTTGCTACGTACCTTGCGCTATATTGGAAACCGAGTACTCACCGGTCCGAACGTGTGCTGCTCTCTTTGGCCACAGTTGCTGCCCAACAAAACGTGGGACATCTGGGAGGAGTTGACGCACCTGATGAGCTCGGAGGACAACTTCCGGGTGTTCCGCGAGGCCCTGCACAAGATCAACCCGCCCTGCATTCCTTACCTCGGTAACGCGCTCTGCTGCGAGCAATGCCCCCCCCCCCTTGATGCCCGGCGGCTCGGGCTACGTGCGCTCACACGCGTGCGCTCAACAGGCGTCTTTCTCACGGACCTCACGTTCATTGAGGACGGCAACCCCGACTTCCTTCGACCGGACTTGATCAACATCACAAAGCTTCGGTACGTCTCCCGCTGGTGTGGCCTGAGGCATTGTATGTCTGCCGGAAGCGGCACTCACACGAGTGACGGTGCTCTTCAGGTACGGAGCGAGGGTCATTCAGGACATCAAGCAGTACCAGCAGACGCCGTACTGCCTCGAGCCGGTGCCCTTCATCCACGATTGGTTGATGTCGAGAGAACTGTACAACGAGAAGGACCTCTACGATCACTCCCTCCTCTGCGAAGAGCGCACGCGAAAGAAATGAAACACAGCGCCCCCTTCAACAAGTGACTCCACACACGACACCACTGAGTCCCTTTACGCGTTTCAACCGACTCAGCCGTCGTGGTTCGTTCATGCGTGCCCCAACAAGCTGTGAAGCTGGTGAAGCTGCAACGCGGCTTTGGCCGGGCAACACTCACCTGGGGTGTTTTGGGTACCGTGACCCAAGCCGGCCACTTTCCTGGTTCCGCGAGGAAAGCAGAAGCAGCGCCCTGGGTGGTTGTTCTGGCGTGGACATGAGGCCGAGAGCGTCGTTCACGAGCAGCCACTCAACTCCTTTGCAGTCGCTTCAGCAAGAGGGGTAGGGCGTTACTGCCACTCACGAATTGCAACAGCCACAGCCACAACTGGCCGTGTGGGCATTCGTGCATCACACGAATCGATTTGGATTGACGCCGTGCACCTGCGAATCCTATCGATTCTCAGAATCTGCACAGAGGGAATAGGATGGAACGGTTCAACTCGTCGAGTTTGCTCCTGGGCGATCAGGGAAGAGCTGCCGGTGATGAATACGACGATGGAGATGGAGATGGAGATAGAGATTTTGAGCGACAGATTGAGACACGATCGACTGGCCCCGTGGGCGTTCCCGAACGCGAGGCGGGTGAGGGCAGCCGAAAATCGTCGGAGATTGAACGAGCGAGTGCACAGCTGTCGATTCACATCAATGGTGAGAGGCTCGAGGATGAACCACCACAAGAGCGAACACACGAGCACGAAGATGAACAGAACACCGACCTGCTCACGAGCGATGAAGCGGTGCCGCTGGACGGCAGCAACACCGACAAGACCGTGGTCGAGACGCCGCTGCCGCTCGGCAAGATGATCCCCATCATGCTCCTGACGGCCAGCGAAAGCTTCAACTCGTCTGCCATCTTCTCCTACGTGGGCTACCTCGTCCTCGACTTCAACCTCACCGACGACAAGAAGGAGCTCGGGTACTACCTTTTATTTTATTTTATTTATCATTTATCATTTATCTTGTATTCATGACGGCCTTGCTCTTGGCAGGAACTACGCGGGAGCCATCTCGTCGTGCTTCTTTGTGGCCCAGTTCATCAGCAGGTGCGCTGCGTTCCCTCTTTCCTGCGGGTTTGCATCCGTCGCACCACCACGCACATCGCTGTGTGCTGCTCACACTTTGTTCGTGTGCGTGTGCGCGTGTGCGCGTGTGTGTTGTGTGTGTTGTGTGTGTGTTGTGTGCGGCGTGCCAGTTTCTTCTGGGGCAAGATGTCCGACAAGTACGGACGGCGGCCTATCCTCCTGTGCGGTGCCGTGGGCACCATCATCTCTGCCCTGCTGTTCGGGTAATTTCTTCCACCCTTTGATGGCGCGAAAGGTACCTTCATTGAGGTGGCGGTGGCTCACAGCCTTCACTTCACCGCACATACAGCTTCAGCATGAACTTCCCGTTCGCCGTCTTCTCGCGCGCATTGTGCGGATTGCTCAACGGTAACATCGGTGTCGTCAAAACCTACCTGGGCGAGGTAATGCATCACCTCGCGGGCCTGGGTGTGCACACGGGAGCTTACCGCGCCGTGCCGTGTCATGTGCGCAGGTGACCGACTCCACAAACCAAACCAGAGCCTGGAGTTGGTTCTCCCTCGCCGCAGGAGCAGGCGCGGTTGTGGGAGCACTAGCCGGTGGTCTCCTCGCACAGCCCGCCAGTACTGCATCTCTCCTTTCTACACACACACACACACACACACACACAACGACGTACACGACACGCACTAAACACCGTGTGTGGCGCACGCGTGTAGCAAAATATCCGAAGCTGTTCTCGGCCGGGCACGGCCTCTTTAACGGGCTGTTCGAGGAGTTCCCCTACCTGCTGCCCAACGTGATGGCGGTCCTGGTGTGCGGCACGGGCCTCGTACTGAGCTACTTCTACCTCACGGAGAACAAGATCCCGCAGCGAGCGATCGAGGTCGAGCGCGAGACCTACGGCCCGCTGGAGCTCGACGACGACGCCGACTTTGTCTCCAGCGTGGAGATGAAGGTCGTGCACAGCCCCGATTGGCGGATGAAGAGCGAGATCGCGAGTAAGGAGACCGAGGACTGGCAACACCAGCGACGAAGAGGCGACGACGACGAGGAGGAGCAGGACCAGAGGGAGCTCCACCACCCGCAGGCCGCGGACGACCAAGGCCGGACAGCCGCAGCGAATCATGCGGCGGCGGCGGAGAAGAGCCTGCGGCTCACCGGTGAACAGGAGTCCACCCTCACGGAGAAGGTGGACGGCGAGGGGGAGGGCCCGCTCTCGTCTCTGCGCAGCGTGCTCCGGCTGCACGCGCCCTGGAGCAGCAGTAGCTCGAGTACGTTGTCGGTGGGCGTGCCCACTTGCCCGCTTCGCCCGTCCATCGTTGCTTGGCCATTGCTGATTCGATTCGACCAACCCCCCCCCCGACTACAGGCAAGGCAAAGAAGGAGAAATCGGTTCTGTTGGAGGGCCAGGTGATTCTCTCGACGAGCCTCTACGGCCTCACCGGCATGCTCTTCATCTTCATCGACGCCGTACGACAGCCCCTTGTGTGCCTTTTGTGTGTGTGTGTGTGTGGCTTTGGCAGAGATCGGTCGTGAGCTCAACTCTCACCACAAGCCTGATCTCTTTCCCGTTAGGTGTTCCCGCTGTGGACGATGACCGAGCCCAAGGAAGGCGGCCTGGGCTTCACCACTGACGAAATAGGTGCGTCCGTCCTTCGGCACTGAACGATAAAGCGGAAGAGATAGAGAGACCTTGTCTTCTCATCATCGTATGTGCGTACAGGCATCACGAGCAGCGTCGGCTCACTGTCCATTGTCGTCATCCAACTGGGGCTCTACGGCCCTATGGCCAAACGACTCGGTATGGCAATTGTTTGTTTTTATTTCCTACTTTTTTTTTGATTTATTCATTTATTCATTTTTCGTCTCACTCGTGATCCGCACTTTTTCAGGGCTGATCAACACGTTCAAGTGGGGCACCTTGGCCGCGGTACCTATCTTCGTGGCCTTCCCCCTGGTCAACTATTTCCACCCCGACGTGTCGGCGTGGTCGTCCATGTTCCTGGTATGCTACGCCTGACTTGCGCCTCGCTCCCTGCCCTTTGGCTCCCTCTTATCACTCACCCTCCGGGGGGTTGCATCGCGTTGTGCAGATGTGGTCGTTCATCATTGGGATCTACATCGTGCGAACATTCGTGGGACAACTTATGTTCTGTGCAGTCATGAACCTCATCAACAACTCAGTCGACGTGTACAACATGGGCGCCGCCAACGGTCTCGGTATGTGTGCGCGCGCGTGAATGTGCGAGCCGATGAGCAAGATCTGACCTCTTGGCTGCAGGGCAAAGCTTAGTTGCGCTGCTGCGAGCCATTGGTCCCTACTTCTCTTCGGTACGGCGGCGCCACTCTCTCTTTCTCTCTGGGAGAGAAACATGGGCGTGGCTGATCAACCTCATCATTGGATGTGTTACAGGTGATGTTTGCGTGGAGCATGACGAGCGGGATGGTGTTCCCCTTCAACTTCTACTTCGTCTTCGTCCTGATGAGTGTAATTACCGTCTTCATCCTGGGCCTGTCCTTCCTCCTGCAACCGTCCCTCAACATGCCCAAGCTCATGCCCACCGCCGTCATCCCACCGTCGTCGGCACCCTCGGGCGGGACCACGACCAAGCGCCTGCTCATCAAGTGAACGCGGGCATGTTCGCAATCGCCCGCGCACCCCACGTGTAACCATAGCGAGCCACCCACTATTTATTTACCAGACGCCATTCCCAACACCGACAAGGCCTCGGGTCCCCTCATCTCCCCACCGAAAAGCGCCGTCCCAGCGACGCAGTGCCGCCACAGGCCTGATCCGGCGCAGGTGGGGGGGGAGGGCAGGTGCAGATGGCGAGGCACCAGAAACGAGCAGGCCGCGACGAACTAGGGCAAAACGGGGAGTACCATGTCGACGCTTGAAAAGAGCCGTTGAAGAAGTTCCCTACCAGGGTAATGTTCCAGCACGTTGCCGGGGGTGGTGGCATGCCTCATGTTTGAACCATCGTGGACCTTACATGGCGCTGGTATTTTTGCAGGGTGGGGACCTAGGGGAGGAGTTAGCAAACTGCGCTTTACCTCGGATGGTAAAGATGGAGGTTCTTGTTTGGGCTGCTGCTGCATGGCAGAGCTGCTTCTGGGGTGTGCTTCTCCTTATGTTCTTGCCCAGCCAACGGGTAGGGGAAAAACGGGCAGAGCTACTCACTTCCATTGCTCTTCAAGTCTTACTTACTTGCCTGCCCGACACCTCAGCCCAACTCTCACCTCACCTCACACAACGACAATGGCGACGAAGAAGATCAGGAAGAAGCCGTGCTACGAGCTGATGAACTGGTTCTCGCTGGCCCAGATAGTCGAGATGATCGAGGCCGAGAAGAGGCGCAAGCAAAGGCTCGAGTGGTACCTTCAGGAGGTGATGCTCGAGAAGGAGACTCTGGTGAACGAACCGGCCATGCTGCCCTGGCACTCGCGCTGTTTGATACTTCCCTCCGAGCTATCGCCCGTAACGGTAACCTCCTTGCTCAAGGCACCTACGTCACTTACCACCGCCGGTGCGTCGCACCTAGCGACCTTCGTCTTCAACACACACCCGAGCTCGCCCTCCTCTACATCCTCCTCTCCGCCTTTCTCTCCGCCACTCGAGGCATCCTCGAGCTCCTCATCTCCCGACGCCAGTCCAGCACAGTCCACTTCTTCATCAACCTCAACTTCACCACTACCGTCGAGCTGGGAAGGCGACTGGCGACACGGCTCGTCAGAAGAGGAGCAGCTCAACTTCAACAACAGCGGCGACGACCTGGATCAGGCCACTCAGCTGGCGAGAGAACAGTGGGACCCGTCTGAGCTCTGGTGGCAAGACGCCTTCCCCGACCCCCTTGCCAACCCAACTGTCACTTATGGATGTCCCTTCTGACTAAAATGCAACGCCAAGGTTGGGTTTGGTGCTAACAACCAGGTCGAAAGGCGCAAAAAAACAAAAAAGGAATTGGCTCCCCATTCGAGGTAAATTGATTTTTAAAATCAAATCGATTTAGATGGAGGTGCTGCTGGAATCGGCGAGGTATGGCGAGGAGGAGGTGGTGCGAGAGCTCCTGGCATCAGCCGCGGCGGGGCAGGGAGATTTGGATTTCAACGGACGCGATGGACGCGGCAATACGGCCCTCCACATGGCCAGCGCCAACGGCAATCTCGGAATCGTGCAGCTGCTGCTCGCCGCGAACAAGGATGCATCTTCAAACGGAGATGAATCGGCCAAGATGAAGGTGGATGTTAACGCCACAAACGAGCACGGAAACTCGGCACTGCATTGGGTGGCAACTCAGCCCGAGATGACGAAGGAGCACGAGGCCATCGTGGAGCTGCTCCTCAGTGCCGGTGCCGATCCCAACATCAAGAACGATCGGGGCCGCACACCGCTCAACGACGCCGCCGATCGCGGCAACACCGCCCTCTGCGAGCTGCTGGTGCGATTCGATGCCCAGCTGGGCGAGGTCGAGGTGAACGAGAAGGATGAATTCTTCGAGGAGGGTGCCAACAAGATGTCCAACCCGGGAGACGTGAACGAGGAAGAGGGAGAACTAGAAGAGGCAAAGCAGCCAACTGCTACGAAGACGAAGAAGCCAGCGGCAGTGGTCGTGGAGGAGAGGGCCATCCGGTGCGCCAACGGCAAGTGCGGGCGGAGCGAGGAGGACGGCGAGACCTTCAATCGGTGCTCGCGATGCAAGAAGGTGTACTACTGCGGGCGCGAGTGCCAGCGAGCCGACTGGCCCAAGCACAAGCCCACCTGCAAATAGAGACCACTATCCCCTCTACACTCATCTCTCTGTGTGTCGTGTGTGTGTGTGTGTGAGAGAGAGAGGGATCGAGGCGGCGCTGGGTGGTTGAGAACACAGGCTTAGTATTTACACAAGTTAACAACTGTTGGCCGGTGTGGAGGCGCGGGGGCGTTGGCGACAGGTACGTTACATACACAGATACATAATCAACATCATTTACACACACACACGAACGCACACGCTCACGCACACGAGCCAACACGCGCGCGTTTTTGAGGATCTCTCTGGAGATCGAAGGGCTTACAGTCCCGACGAGAGGTTGTCGAGCAGGGCATCGTAGTCGAACTCGTCGTTGAGGCCGGCGAGCGGCCACTCGGTAGCGCAGTCTCCGCCGGCGAGGGTCGGCGTCGGCATCGGCGTGGCTGCCGTCGAGGAGCAGCTGTTGTTCCACTCGAAGGACGACGACGAAGACGACGCCGAGAGCGAACCACCAGCAGCAGCAGCCGCGACAACGCCAGCGGCGCACTGCGGCGGGGTGCCGCCGAAAGGGAGGCATCCGACAGGCGACTCGCAGCCGGCCGCCGAGTTGGGGCCTCCACAGACGTGCTGATGCTGGTGGTGGTCGTGGCCGTGGTGCTGGTGCTGGTGCTGGTGCTGGTGTTGAACCTGGTGCGGTTGGAGCGGGTGGAAACGGTTGGCGTCAACGGACGTCATCGGGGCCGACTGACGAGCGGTGACGCCGGCAGACTGGTGGTGCTGGTGCTGGTGATGGACCACCGTGGCCGGACGGAGGGGCTGCAGCTGCAGCTGGTTGGGCTGGTTGGACGACGACAACGACGACGCGACGGCGGGCAGGGAGGTGCCGAGCCGCGCTCGCTTGACCGGGCCCTGGTACTTTGCGGACGTGTCCACCACCATCGTGTCCGTCGGCGCCTCCGCCTCCGACGACGACAGGCCGAGCAGCCGCGCCGCCTCGCACGACCCCTGTTGGTGTTGATGCTGTCGCTGCTTGTGCTGCAGTTGCTGCTGCTGAAGCTGGAGCTGGTGCTGGCGCACGATACGGAACGAGTGCGGCTGCGGGCGGAGCAGCGGCGGCGGCGGCGGCTGGGCGGCGGCGCTGGGTGGGCCAACGGGGAGGAGTGCGGGCGGGGTGGTGATCATGGCCGGCGGGGCCGACGTCGAACGCGGCCGGGCGTGCGGGTTGAGAGCTGGAACGGGAGCGGGGGCGATGGGCGTGACGACGACGCAGGGCGAGGAGACCGAGGCGTGGAGGTTGAGGTTGAGGTGGTGGTTGAGGCTGTGGAGCTCCTCCTGCCGCTTCCGGCGGGCCTCGTCTTCGTGCTGACGCAGGAGAACGTCGCGCTCGGCCAGAATCTCGCGCAGGCACCACTCGAGCCGGCTGGCCTTGGCCTTTTCATCTTCGATTTCCTGTACGAGCTGAAGGGCGGCCATCTCCTCTTCGATAAGCGTCACTTGCTGTTGATGGTACTGGATTTGCGAAGAAGAGGGATGATGAGGATGATGATGAAGGAGATGTGACGGCTGGTTGTCGATTGTGGTGGGGGCGAGGTTCGGACTTAAAACCGGGGCGATGAGCCGACCGTCGGCCTGGCGTTTGAGAGGAGAGGTCGCGAAGGGAAGATGGGAAGCAGCAGCAGAAGAAGAAGAAGGAAGAGAAGCACTGCCTCCGCCGGCGCGAATTGGATTCATCTCTCGGAGGGAAAAATCAAATCTCTCTGCTTCCTTCTTCACAACGTTCCCTTCCAACTCGTTATCTCTTTGTATATCTCTTCGCGTCTACCGAACGATGCGTTGTCTTGAGTTGTTGCGCGGGTCGTTGAGAGAAAGAGGAAGCTGGTCGCCAGTTCGCCGGCTTCAACAAATTGCCCCAAAAAATTGCAGGTCATTCGGGCTCTTTCGGTTGCTACCCGCAGTGGTCGCGGTTACCAAATATCCCCGCGGTCGTAGCCGGATGTTCCGGTCTTGCACGCCCAGATCGAAAACAAAAATGGCGCGAAAGCTGGCCCAAGACGTCGATTTCGATGAGTGATTAATTAATTTTGCAGATGCTAGATTTCGGAGGGGAGGGGTCATGAGATGTGTGGATCTTCCTTTCCCTCACGATCGTCGTCGCTTTTGAGGGATCGGTAGGCGAGGATCCCTCCCGCGAGCATGGTTTGCGAGAGCAGGAAGGCGATGATCAACAGGCGGTTGAATTTCTTGCGGGGCATGGTAGATACGAATTGGGAAAATCTGCGCACGGGGCTCATCTTCGCAACCGCCAGCTCGCGTCTTAGATCGTCCACGGTCTTCCTCAATCGTTCATTTTCCAGCTGCAGCTCCGCATGTGCCTTTGTTTCGCCCGACGCACTTCTTGCCACCGACAATCGTCCCGCGACACGTATCGTTCCATTCAATCGGGTCGCACCGTTTGCCCACGCTCTTGCTGCTCGCCTCATCTTGCCGTTGGTCCACAGAAAATGTTTTCCGCGCTTGCAGCCAAGGCAGTCCATGCGTGGATCCCCTACGCCGCGGCTGCATTTTGGCGTGGGTGGTTTACGTCCTGCTTATTGCGTGTGCATCAGTGAGTGCAGTAATTCTGGGGGTGTAGCTCACATGGTAGAGCGCTCCGTTCGCATCGGAGAGGCAGCGGGATCGATACCCGTCACCTCCAGTCTACATTTTATAACTTTTGGCCACCTGGCTTCCGTTTCGTCATTTTACGACAACCCAATCAGCACTGTAGGAGAATGCGTGCAGGAGGTTTCATGGTTCAACCTCTTGTTGATTGGTCCAGTCAACACTTAAGAGGAGGCCAACGCTTTGACGAAGCATTGACCACCACCTCCATGCGCACCACCACTCTGCTCGCCCTGTGTGTGGCCCTCTTTGTGGCCTCCACCTTTGCCGTTTCGCATGACCCGCTCACCGGGGTCTTTGCTGACTGGATGCAGGAGCACCAGAAGAGCTATGCCAACGAGGAGTTCGTCTACAGGTGGAACGTGTGGCGCGAGAACTACCTCTACATCGAGGCCCACAACCACCAGAACAAGTCCTTCCACTTGGCCATGAACAAGTTTGGCGACCTCACCAACGCCGAGTTCAACAAACTCTTCAAGGGCCTCTCCATCACCGCCGACCAGGCCAAGCAGGAAAGCGACATTGCCCCCGCCCCTGGCCTGCCCGCTGACTTTGACTGGAGGCAGAAGGGTGCCGTCACCCACGTCAAGAACCAGGGTACATCCTCACCTTGCTTTGCAGCAGTGCGCCATGACTGACTGCTTGATGGTCTTCATGTTGTTCATGTTTGCAGGTCAGTGCGGCTCGTGCTGGTCATTCTCGACCACTGGCTCAACTGAGGGTGCCAACTTCCTCAAGCACGGCCGTCTCACCTCGCTCTCCGAGCAGAACCTGGTGGACTGCTCCACCTCGTACGGCAACCACGGCTGCAACGGCGGCCTCATGGACTACGCCTTCGAGTACATCATCCGCAACAAGGGCATCGACACCGAGGAGTCGTACCCCTACCACGCCTCGCAGGGCACTTGCCGCTACAACAAGCAGCACTCGGGCGGCGAACTGGTCAGCTACACCAACGTGCCTTCGGGCAACGAGGGCGCTCTCCTCAACGCCGTCGCCACCCAGCCCACCTCGGTCGCCATCGATGCCTCGCACTCGTCCTTCCAGTTCTACAAGGGAGGCGTCTATGACGAGCCGGCCTGCAGCTCGAGCAGGCTCGACCACGGTGTGCTCGCCGTCGGTTGGGGCGTACGTGATGGCAAGGACTACTGGCTTGTCAAGAACTCGTGGGGCGCTGATTGGGGCCTCTCCGGCTACATCGAGGTACCACACTCCCCCCCCCTCGACTGCCAATCTGCATTCTAATGATCATCTAATTCTCCACGCAGATGTCGAGGAACAAGCACAACCAGTGCGGCATCGCTACCGCCGCGTCCCACCCCCACGCTTGAGCAGTGACCCATCCCAATCGCTCCCCCCCTCGCTTACCAATCGATTTGCGAGAGATTGAAAAAACAACAACTTACGTGTGAAATTGCGTGTCCGGTTATATTCTGGATTCTTTCTGGTGGCCAAACAAGAAAAGTTCGGCCGCTCTTTCTCGCGGAGACAGAAAACCTGCAGAGGCCGATGATTGGCTGCGGTGAGGGCCTATCATTGGTTCTCTGACTGGGACTCCGCACCTTCATAAAGCGACGAGGGCAGTGCGGGTCTTCTTTCATCTCAGCCGAGCCAGCACACACCATGCGCGCTACCACCATCCTCGTCCTGCTTGCCGCCCTTTGCGTGGCTTCCACCCTCGCCACCACCCATGACCCGCTCACCGGCGTCTTCGCCAAGTGGATGAGGGACAACTCCAAGTCGTACTCGAACGAGGAGTTCGTCTTCAGGTGGAACGTGTGGAGGGAGAACCAGCAGCTCATCGAGGAGCACAACCGCTCGAACCAGACCTTCTTCCTGGCCATGAACAAGTTCGGCGATCTCACCAACGCCGAGTTCAACAAGCTCTTCAAGGGTCTCGCTTTCGACTACTCGCTCCACGCCAACAAGGCCGCCGAGAAGGCCGTCCCCGCCCCCGGCCTGCCCGCCGATTTCGATTGGAGGCAGAAGGGTGCCGTCACCCACGTCAAGAACCAGGGTACGCCTTCTCCCCTTCTTTCCATCCATCTTTCCATCTTTTGCACTGGATCTAGTGTCACCCCCCCCCCCGATAATCATTATCGGACCTAAACTTACGTTTTCGTTCTTTGCGTCGCTTTTTTTCTTGGCTCTTTGCAGGTCAGTGCGGCTCGTGCTGGTCGTTCTCGACCACCGGCTCGACTGAGGGCGCCAACTTCCTCAAGACCGGCCGTCTTACCTCGCTCTCCGAGCAGAACCTCATCGATTGCTCCGGCTCGTACGGCAACAACGGCTGCAACGGTGGTCTCATGGACTACGCCTTCGAGTACATCATCAACAACAAGGGCATCGACACCGAGGCCTCGTACCCCTACCAGACTGCCCAGTACACCTGCCAGTACAACCCCGCCAACTCGGGTGGTTCGCTGACCAGCTACACCGACGTCTCGTCCGGCGACGAGAACGCCCTCCTCAACGCCGTCGCCACCGAGCCCACCTCGGTCGCCATCGATGCCTCGCACAACTCCTTCCAGTTCTACTCGGGCGGCGTCTACTACGAGTCGGCCTGCTCGTCGACCCAGCTCGACCACGGTGTGCTCGCCGTCGGTTGGGGCACTGAGAACGGCCAGGACTACTGGCTCGTCAAGAACTCGTGGGGCGCTGATTGGGGTCTCTCCGGCTACATCAAGATGGCCAGGAACAAGAACAACAACTGCGGTATCGCCACCTCCGCCTCGTACCCCACCGCTTAATTGGTTCGCTGGGATCGAGCGTTGTAATACACACCTGTACCGTCGGATCTGTACACACAGAGATGCGATCTCTTTTGTTATTAAAACAATCCATTTGCACAAACAACTCCTCTCTCGCTCCATCTTACACAAAGGCCTTTCCTCTCGCCACGAGTACATGTTGCGGCGCCTCTCGCATTTCCACAAATTCAAGCATCTGCCTCGGTACGCGCAGCTGAGCGAAAGGCTCGCGCAGATTGAAGCAAGAGGCACGGAGGATCCCGAATCAATCTGCCTCGCGCAGGATGCACTTCGTGAATGCGACGGTGATGTGGGCGATTCGGTGATCGTGGCCTCCTCCCTCATCCCTGGCGCCGGTGCTCGCCCCCACCCCTCCTTTGACGCAATCTTCTCGTTCTTCTCTGCCCCCTGACATAGTGCGGGCAGGCAAGGGACTGTTTGCGCGCAAGAGGCTGCCCCGGTTTGCGTGCATTGGCACGTTCTGGGGCTACGACTTGGGGTGGGGCGAGGCCTCGTCGTATGCTGCTCTTCATGAACCGGCCGACGTGACGACGGGACGACTGTGGCCGTGCGTCGCACCTCCTCTCTTGTTCCGCTTCCACTGAGCTACTCAGGCTTGACTCTCGTCTGTTTGCGCTTCAGCGAGTTTGAGAAGTGCCCGGTGCTGTATCTCAATGAGCCCCCACTAGAGTGCGAGGCAAGCTGCGGGTGGGGCGCCGTGCGGGCTGTTGGCGATCTTCGACTACATCAACGGATCTACACTCTGCGCGAGATCGAAGCAGGTGCGGTCCCTTCCTTCATTGCCTGCCTGACCCACGCGCTGTGTTCTGATCGGCCTCTTTTCTTCTGCCATATCAAAGGCGAAGAGCTCTTCCTGTACTATGGCTCGTTCTACCAATACCGAAACTACGGCGTCAGCCCAAACAGCAAGCTCCAATGGGTCACGCAGGGCGAGGGAGGCGAGTGGTCCGTGTGCTCTGAGGACTCGTTCTGACCACCGCCGCGGCGCACCTCTTCGTCTTCGCTTTCGTTCTTTCGCCACGAAGAGATTCCACACTTTTTCTCGTAACGAGCGGTGCGCACGGCAGCCGGCCACTGGCCTGTCACTGCAGCCAACATGCAGGAACAACGACACGAAGAAGAGGGAGCAGCAGTTGTAGCTGGCCTCCGCTATGTGCCCGAATTCATCACCACTGAGGAAGAGGACGCCATGGTGCGGTCGTTGGAGCAGCTCGACTGGAACAACCCACTGCCTCGAAGAACGCACCACTTCGGATACAAGTACGACTTCACTGCTCGAGGCGGTGCCGCTGAGGGTGCCCCCCCCCCCACATTCCTCTTCTCCTCTGCCGCCTTCCTGCCTCACACAGCTGTTTACACAAAGAGCATCACCGGTTGGTGCCCTCAGAACCGTTTCCCGACTGGCTTCGACAGCTGGCGGCCAGGCTGTGTGAAAGTGGGGCGATGCTCCATGCGCCTGACCAAGTGATCGTCAACGAGTAATGCCTCTTTCGCACCTCTTTGCCTCCTGCATTCAGTGCTGGCTGACGTGGCGTCCCCACAGGTACAAGCCCGGGCAGGGACTGGGATTCCACATTGACCACACACAGTCGTTCGACAGCTGGTATCGCCTCGTAGGAGCTCACCGCTCTACCACCCTCGAATGGAGCCTCTGGCCACTCACCTTCACCATGTTTTCCTCTTTGCCCGTGCCAGTGTGGTATCGCTGACCTTGCAATCGGGGTGCACCATGGACTTCAAGCACAAGGACTCGAAGCACCAGACGCAAGTGTATCTGGAAAGGCGCAGCCTGTTGGTGCTGGAGGTGCGGGGCGTCCACCCGTTGTGCTCACACAGCCGCTGCACAATGAGGCTACATGCATTCACTCACGCACGATGGCCAGGGCGACGCACGGTACGAGTGGATGCACGCCGTGGCCAGGCGGGCGGAGGACGTCGTGGGCGACACTGTCATCCCCAGAGGCACGCGCTTGTCGCTCACCTTCCGCCGCGTCCTCGACCAGGCCAAGCCAACACCATAACTCAGCGCCAACCCCGTTTGGGGCGAAAGGCGACGGTTGGCGAACAGGGAAAGGCGCGAGTAGCGACGTGTTGTGTTTGCACGTTGGCATTTGCGAGGCACAGGCAAGGAAGGACCCTTCTAATCTGGCGTCATCTTGTTCGAATCGCTGAGATTGGGCGGTAATCTCGTAAAGATTGTGAAGATGGAAGTCGAGCAGCAGCCGCAGGTGAATGAATCGGAAGGGCGTGTGGGCGACGCCCAGAGCGGAGGCCATGGAGGAGACGCACAGGAGAAGGCCAAAGAGGCGAGTAACACGCTACGTGCACGAGAGAAGGGTGAACAGGTGCTGACTTTGCTGAAGGAGGGCAAGGAGAAGGTGGGTGCCTTGATCATACGCGATCAGAGCCAGCGCGACAGGGAAGGGGCCATACGCTACATCGTCAAGGGGATGGTCAAAGGATTCCTCATCTACACCGGCCCGCTCTGCATAATTCAACGCAAAATCACACGCCCTACCGTGCGGTACGTTTACGCTTCCATCCATCGTTTTCTTCTCATTCTCATTTGAAAAACACAGGCGAGGCGTTGCTGTGAGCATCTTCGTGGGCCTCGTCCGGTCCTTCTACCGCTGGCACAAGGTCCTCTCATCATCCCCCGCCTTCTTTCTCAGCTCACTGCTGACTGCTTTCGTGGTGTGCGCGCGGTGCACACAGTGGCTGCAAACGTTGGACGCGGAGCGTGACGAGCAGGGCGGACAACGCAACAGGCTGATCGCGTCGGTGCTGCACCTGTTCCAGCAGAAGCTGCCGTGGATGGCGATCGCGGGTGGTGCCGCGGCGTGGATCGGCCTCAAGATCGATCCCTCCCTTCTCAACTCTACGCTCGCTTTCTGGTGTCTGGTACCAGTCGTCCACGCACACGCACCACCGCACACGCACACGCGGTGCTCGATTCTCATAATGGTGGACCATGCTCGTTCGCTTCTGTCGCAGGTGCGGGCAGCTCGGTGCTTGCCTTGGCCGGAATGGAAATACGGCCCTACGGCGATCATGTGCTTCTCTGCCACCCAAATCCTTTCCTCATGGTGCGTCGATGAGACATTCGCCACGTTGGCCACATCGCCCAGCTCACGGTGTGGTGTGTGCGTGCGTGTGTGCATGTGCGTGTGTGTGTGGTACCTCTGTTCAGGATCGCCGCTCCCGAGGATCTGCCGGAGGGATACTTGCGCTTCCTCGACAAGCAGGGCATGATCAACGCCTCGATGAAGAAGCGGCTCATGGGCGGCGAACTCTTTTGCCACGTCACACACCCCGGCCGGACTCACTTGTGCGTACACCCTTCGAATCCTGCTCAGCGCACGTTTGGCTTACTGGCCTGTAAGTGACCAACACTCACACGACACACACCACACATCACACACACCACACACACACACACACACACCACACACACGCACATCACAGCGCCTATCTGTGGGGATTCTTCACAAAGTGCCTACTGCTGAGCTTGCGAATCTACGTGCCGCTCAACATCATCTTCTTCCTGGCCACACGCAAGAACATGACCGGGCTCAAGCGAGCCGTGGAGAACATCGTTCGGTCCACCGCCTTTCTCACCGCCTACTGCACACTGGCCATTGCCACCGGTACACACTCCACCCACCGCCCACCAAGTGGCAGTCCAACTCACACGCACTGTGTGCGTGGCCACAGGGTGCTTCCTCTACTCCAACTTCTCCATCAAGATGACTCGGCCAATAATGATGAGCCAGGCCTGGGTTGCTGGGCTGGCCACGCTCATCGAGCTGCCTTCGAGACAATCAGGTACTTCATGCCCAGTGCCCACGCAATGGATTGCGCACAATAGCAACTCATTGAGCTATCTATGTCTGTGTCTTCTTATCAGAACTCGCGGCGTACTGCCTTCCGTTCGCGCTGGAGACGATGTACCGATACGCGCAGCGCATGGGCTGGGTTGTGGCCAAGCCCTGGAAGACCACGACGGTCATCGTCCTCTCGGTGGCCGCCCTGATCCACAACCTCCGCAAGCAGCCGCGACTCTTGAACTGGCTCTTTGGTGTCATGTGAACAAAGAAACAGAAAATCAAATGCACACCAACACCAACAGAGTACTTGTGAAGACTCCTTTTCGTAAGAATGGCCTTCACTGGTCGTGGCCAACCGCCAGCACCTTGGCGTGGTGCATGAGCTGCTTGAGGTAGAAGAAGCCCTTCTTGGCCCGGGCATCGTCCAACACAGCGGCCGTAGGGGTCAGCATGGCGTCGGAGAGCAGCAGGATGCACTTCTTTCGCGCCCGCGTGATAGAAACGTTCTGCGCCATACATAGGGGGCGTGAGAGAAAGAGGGGTGGGACAAGGCCGTCATTGCTACGCACCAGTCGGTTGAGAGAGTAGGCGAACTCGGGGTTGGCGGCAAGCTGGTCCGCAGTCCACGCACCATAGCAGACGATCACGCAGTCGCATTCCTAGAGAAGAAAGAGCACATCAGCCCTAAACAAAAACGGCGCGGGGGAAGTAGAACGTCGGTTACCTGCCCCTGCATCTTCTCCACCGTATCGACAAACACTGCGCCCAGGTCGAACCCAGCCTTCTCAAGCGCACGACGCACCGCCATTCTGGAACACACACGTAGTACATGCAACACACACAACACACACTCGGTGTCATACTGCTGCGGTGCTGCTGCGATTGGTGGATTGCAACGGGGGTGCAGTACCGCTGTACGTGGCGTGGAGTGACGACGAACAGCTTCTCCCTCCAGAACGCCTTCTGATTGCGGCGCGAGGTGTCCGCGTAGCCGCTGTGGTTCCACAAGATGAGCGAGAGCATCGCCACGATCTGCGCCTCCCTCTCCTCCAGCCCGACCGCAACCGAAAGCGCTTCCGCGCTCGACTCGCCCGTCTTCGTCGTCGTCGACAATGACGGCGGCGAAGAATAAAGTCGAAGCGCAACGATCGCTCGCTCGTCCTGCACCGCCGACCGCGCCAGCCCGAGCAGCGGGTGGGTCCTCTTCTGCTCCTCCTCCTCGTCGCCGCTTGCCCCCTTACGCATAGAAACCCGCCGTGTCATACCACCGACCGATGGGCCATCGCCACCAATTGAAGTTGAGGGTGGTCGGCGTGGTACCTGCTGCTGGGCCGTGGGCGTGGGCGTGGCCGTGAGCTTCCAGTCCTTGTTGCGCGCCACGGGGCGGTAGTTGGAGCCGTAGAGCTGACGGGGCAGCTCGCACAGGTCCTCGTTCATCCTGAAGTTCTCCTCCAGCGAACCCAAGTGGTCCCCCAACAGGCCCTAGCACGCCGGCCAGTAGGTACCAACGTGAGCCTCCACAACCACCTTCGCGTGTGCGTGTGCGTGTGTGTGCGTGTGTGCGTGTATGTGTGTGCGTGTGTGTGCGTGTGTGCGTGTGTGCGTGTATGTGTGTGCGTGTGTGCGTGTATGTGTGTGTGCGTGTGTGCGTGTGTACCTTGCACTTGAGCGAGTGCTTGAGGCACTTGAAGATGGACTGGTGCAGCGGAGGGGACTGATCGGTCGGCGGTGGGTAGGTGCCGGCGAGAATCGTGCCCAGTTGCTTATCTGAGTGCGTGCGGGAGGGGTTGTGTGTCGTGTGTCGTTCGTTGTGTGTGTGTGTGTGTGTGTGTGTGTGTGTGTGTGGGTGAGTCACGCCCAGGAAGCGCGCATGCAGCGCGTGGGCGGGTGTGCGCGCACTGTCGCCGGCCAGCACCACCCGCCCCTGGGCCGAGTGGACGAGGGACAGCGGAATGGCGGCCTCGGCCACCGGCACCTGCGAGGCCTCGTCCATCACCAGCACCGCGATCTCGTCCTTCAGCCCGCGGTAGGCCTGCCCACCCGGGCGAACACGCGCAGCGTCAGTCAGTCGGGCCTCGGCCGTGGCGGCCCAGCTGTGGAGAAGGCTTGCCCGCGCGCCCGCGTACCTTGTGAATGGCCCACACGGTGCCGCCGATGACGCAGCGGGAGGGCATCTTGGTGGTGAACGCCTCTCCCTCCATGCCCTTGGGCAGCCGGCGCAGCTTGACGCCGGCCACTTCGCTCCGCAGCAACTTGAGCCTAAATGGCCGAAACACGAGTTAGTGTCGTTGGTCGTGTCGTGTCGTGTCTTGTGACACTTACGCATCGCCGAGTTTGTAGAGTTCAAAGGCTTCGTAGCCGGGCACGGAGGAGGCCACCAGGTGCTGAAGCTCGGCCACGCGGATGAGTAGGTTCTCGATCGCCACGTGGGTGTAGGCCGTCACCACCACGTTCAGCACCCCGTGGCTCACCACCCGGCGATGGGCCTCGAGCAGGCACAGGACCAGCAGGGCGAGGAACTGGGTCTTGCCCGTGCCGGGCGGTCCCCACACCATCTGCAGCCTATTCCTGAGCACGCTCTCGAACAGTACTTCCTGTGGCACGTGTGAGTAAACATATCAACAACATGTTAGTATATGCATAAACATATCAGCTACATGTTATTTTATATATAAATATATAACGATAAATGTTTCACCTGTGATTGGGTCATGGAGAACCGGTCGGGGCTGTGGGCCTTGAAGTCGTGATAGGCCTGCCGCGTCGCCTGCAGGAAAGTGTCGGAGAAGAAGCCGAGCGAGCCCACCACGGGCCGGCTCGTGGCGCTGGCCGCGGCCTGGGGCTTCAGCTCCTCCTCGTCCAGCACTGCCAATGGTGCCTCTGCGGGCTGCGAGCCGACACCACCATCGACCGCTTCGCTCTGCTCGTGCGCTCCCTCGCCGACCCCGGTGAAGAGCGCCCTGCGCACCGCGTCCTCCCCGTGCTGGTCACGACCCACTTCACCTCCCGTGGCCGCCGCGCTCGTCTTGTCCTCGGCGGACGCGGCAGCGTCCGGCTTGGCCCACGACGACGGATCCTCCAGCAGCCTCATAGCCAGCGGGAGGCTGCGAAGCACGCCGTGTGTGTGTTGTGTGTTGTGTGTTGTGTGTTGTGTGTGTGGTGTCAAACGTGAGCAGCCGGCCGGAGGTTCAAAGGGGCGGGTGGGTGGTGGGAGGGAGTGGCCGCGGTACCTGTCGCTGGACTTGGCGCGCTTGACGCTGTCGTTGAGGTCGTAGAGCAGTTCCTGCACTCTCGTGTACGTGAACGGGTCCGTGTAGCGCTTCTGGAGCAGCAGCTGACGCGGTACGCAGCTGCGGCGCGCTTCGGCCGCTGCCTCGCCTTCTTCTTTCTCCTCCCCTGCCTGCTGCTGTTCCTGTTGGCGGTCTGCAGTGGCCTCCGTTGGCGCTCCGAAGAACTGGCTCTTCGTTCGGATCTTCACGTTGAGCTTGATTAGCACGTTCCTGCCCTGCTTCTCCGCCTCCTTGACCATCTCCTCATTCTCCTCCACACTCGCCGGCTTCGCATCGTCGTCTCCCTGGCCCTGGCCACCACCTTCGTTATCGTCGGCTGAGTCGCCGGCCGTCTCGTCGCGGCCGTTGACGACGAACTTGTTGATGCGGGCGATGGCCAGCGTGTCGATGTTCTCGTAGGGCGGGGTGTCCCACAGGAAGTACTTGACGTCGTCGTACCCGCGCGTGGCCTCCTCGCCCTCGGGCGAGTCGTGCGACAGCACCCACGGGTAGCTGTTCCCAAAGTCCCTGTCGTCCAGCCAGCCGACCACCACCGGCGCACATGCAACGATGTGAGCAGAGCAGGGGAGGCCTGGGAGGTGGCGGGGCAGCAGCCGGGGGGTGATGGGGTGGGGTGGGGCGGGCGCACCCTTCGTCGGGCAGCGAGCCGGTGAAAGTGGCCAGGCGACACAGGACCTCGTAGGTCATGGTCTGAGTGGCGCGCGTGGAGGGCTTGTGCTTCACTTCGACCACTTCGAGGTGGAACGCCTGTGTGGCCACGCACACAAGCCACACCGGCTCAGGTGAGTGTCGCCATACGAGAGAGAGAGAGAGAGAGAG